GAAATGAGCCTCCCGAAAGCCACCACAGCCCAACTGTTCCTTGACCTCAACAAATGACAAATTTGGCCCCCAGATGCAGATTTTGAGTTTGCAGCACCACAATGGGGATGTTCTAAAGACCAAGTAGGACGGAAAAGAGGTTCATTTCAACAAAAAAGAAAGAAGCGAGCGTTTCTCAATCTTCAGGAGGGGCAGCCTGCTCTCACAGGCGATCCCAAGAGCAGATGTGTATTGCTAAGGGTACAGATCCCTGTCCGAACAGTTTCACTCCGGTAAATCACACCGCTGTTGAAGAACGGTCCTTTCCGGCAATTCAGGTGCATAAAAGTGACCCGCCTGACTTTCGGGGATGGAAAGCATGAAGAACCTGGCTGAACTCAAACAGAGACTCCCACTGTTTGTTTATTCAGCTTTTTGAGAAACATGAAGAAAAACATCTCTTTAGTTTCCAGCTCTGGTTTTATACATGTAACATATTGAATTCATCGTTCCCTAAACGCTATCAGATGTCTCCTGATCTTTTACCTGGACCACTGCAGTTGCTCTTCAAAGGCTTTTCTGAAGCTCACAAAACTAGCGGACAAAGGCGAGCATGCTTCAGCGGACAGGCATCAGGCTTGAGCTATAGCGACGGAGCTCCTTCGCGTTACGCACTGATACAGAGAAAGCTGATCCCTCCTCTGGAGCCAGGGAATGAAATGGAGACGGGTAAGATCCTGATGGTATTACAGCCAACAGCAAACCACGCTCCAGCTTCGGCAAGGCCAGGATGCCACCCACATGCCCTAGGCTGAGCAGTGGTAAGCAGACTGTCTACAAAGCCTTTTGGTATAACCTAAGGTTTGAAGTTAAACTGAAATGCTTTAACTGACAGAGAGCTTTTATTCTCAAATGCCCTTCATGACAGATTTCTTCCCCAAACACTAACTGCGACCCCCGAAGGTAACAGTATTTTAGAGTGGTTCTGGTATTAACCACAAGCTGGCAATAGAAAAGCTCATAGATATGGTTCCACGTTCACGTGCCTGAGTCACAGGCGGCAGAACTATCCAAGATCTGTATCCTAAGCTAAAGGAAGGCGTCCCGAGTAATTTGATAACAAACCATCAAAAACGCATTAGGAATAAACAGAGAGTCTACAAGGAGAGAGGGGAAGGTACGCATTAGAAACACGTACGGACATAACAAGCCTATGTCAACTACATGAGACTTGACAAAAGCCAAGTGGAGCTCCATCTTGCAAAACAATATTCAAGTAAACAGCTTTTTGAAGTTCTGCTTTCATAGAAGGAGAGAAAGGAAGAAAGATTGGGGGAAACTAAGCAGCGTGACTGGAACAAACATTTAAGTCAATCTATGTGGAGCCCAAAACATAAATTAATATTTTGTCTCTGGAAGATTAAGGAAAATAGCTTCTATTACAGGAAAGAAATTTTTAAAACCCTTGGTTCATTTCACCTTTCAAAACAAAGGCTGAAAGTGAAATAAGTGAAATAAATATTTTTCTTAGTAGAAATAAAGAAGCAATTAGTACAGAAGAGGTAACGGTTCCAACAGGAGAGCAGAGCAGAGGACGAGGGGCCACGGCGTCTCGGGTGCCACGTTTCACCCTGGAGGCTGAGAACGGCGTGCTCACTCCCCGGCGCTCGCCGGCTGAGCGGCCTCAGCCCCGCTCGCACCCTGCGCCGAAAGGCACCAAGGCACCCTCAGCGTTTCCAGCAACGTTTCGAAAGCCTTTAGCTGCTGTAACAACAACAGCAGCAGCAGCAGCACTTTTTTTGAATTTTGAAACATCATTTTCTTCTACACAACCCTAAATGTATTTTGTGACTTCTGAGCAGTCTGAAATTTGCAGCCATGAGAAATAACTGAAACGGTCAGAATCTGAATAAGAAACCTGTATCCAATAGATGGCGTCACCCCCTAATAATCACGTATCTGGCACTCACCGAATTTCTCTGATCCTACTACTACTAATAAAAGCTGCAGGTGACCCTGCCCTCATCACTCCAGGTGTCCCGTCTCTTCAGCCAAACCCTCTCTGCTTTCCAAGACGGACCTAGAACCTTACTAAGAAAACAAGTGTTTGAATATTCACCAACACGTCAAATTAACCTATAGAATTATTCAGACAATTTACCGATACCAATCTGGACTTCCTTCCAGGAACCGAATACAACAAAATGTCAACTAACAGGAAAAAGCGAGCATGTATGGACAAACCACTTGCAAACATTAGCCAGGCACACTCTCCTTCAATATAGCCAGTGGTTACGATGCAGAATACATTTTAAAAGCACTGGAGAGAAGAGGGGAAAACAAAAGGGGGGGGGAGGGGAAGAAGAGAAAGATGAGGTATTTCAGCATGCCTGCCAAACCAAGGGCCAGGGGAAGGTTTTCATTGACGATTCAACCACAGACATACAGGTAGCTCCAAGCACACTTTACTGTCCTGCCTATCAGCACCTCTGGTCTCCTGTAAACTGTTTTAGACAACTGGATTGCATAAAACGTTTTATGGAACCATTTGGAATTCATAGTATTGAGAAAGACATTCCAGAATCACTCCATATATTAACAGATACCTCTGTTTTCCTTGGAGACATTTTATTAGGTGAATCTGAAGTTCAAAATGCAAGGATGCCAGTACAGAATAAATGCAATTGCTAAATGGAAGAATGAGTTAAGCACCCTTCTCCTCTAGAAATAGAGGAAGGGTAGAGTTGTGCTTTTTATTTTTTTTCCTCTCTCTAATAACATTAAGAATTAGCTATTAGCTTGAGATGCCAAGATTTCCCAGCCTCATCTGGGTTTTGTGCTCTTGGTTTCAGTGAGATGATGCACACGGAAAGGAACTGTGGTCTCTCAATGGCCAGAAAGAGATGCCCAATAGCTAGCTGCTTTATCACGCCGGTTGCTGGATGCTTGGGAAAATAGTAACGCAGCACGCCCAGCCCCTTTGCACAGACAACCAAGAACACATATTTCGCCAGAGGAAGAAGAACAGTCGCGTGCAGCAAGGCGGTGAACATGGCTCGGGCCTGATGACTGGACCGCAGGCCTGTAGCTGTCGGCATGAGGCGATACTAGCTCTGACGAATGCAATACAGTAAGAGTTGAAAATAACACAGCTCATTGCAATGGAAAACCCTCAGGAATTAAAATCAGGCCCCTCTTCCAAAGGTAACCAACGGATCAGACATCTGCACAATCGGGACACAAGTAATTTTCTTAATTTTTAGTTATCTCCGCAAAAGTCATGTCAGAAACGCTCACTGACACCTGATACATCAACACGTACCACTTCTTGAGGACTGATTTAATAGTTAAATTAATAAACCACAACCCAGATGATTTAATCTGAAATAAGACAGAACAGACTACTGATACTACTTGCTAACATTATATAGCTATTTGTAAAATTAATTCAGCCATTTCAGCTTCCACAGGACAGCTGTCTAAACAAAAAAAAATACTAAAACGTACAACATTTGCAGCTACGACATGTGGGAAATAAAACCCAAAAGTCAGCAGCAGAAAATGAACCGACCACGTAGACCTAAACACGCGATTCTGCCAGCAAAGCACGGCATGACACTGCAGATTGAGCTGGAAGAAATCTATGCCACCTTTTTTATATCATGTACCTGTTGTAAGGACTAAATATAGCAGATTTTAGTCCAAGTTTAGAAACAAAGAACTATTACATTTACACAAAAAAGTAGAAAGAATTAATAAAACAGATTCAAAAATGTATGTCTTTTATCCAAGTTCTATATAAAAAGCTATTGAAATTCAGTGAGAAGTAATAGTTGATCACACATTACAAGGGATAAGACAGAATATTACCAATGAATTTTTCTGAAACAATGATGTAAGGTAAACGCTTTGTTATTTAAACATTTTTTATTTCCAAGCAAATTGAAGTAAAGGAAATATTTCAGTCTTATCATTTAGTATATCCAGCTCTAGGCCAGTGGTAAAACTGGTAAGAAAACATGTACCTTATTTAGTATTAGAAGAGCAAAACTTCCTCCAATATAAGCATTGCGTTGTTTCGTAGACAAGAGTTTTAGGAACACCCCTTCCTCCTGAACCAGTGGGTTTTCTTCATGCTTAATATAGCAGATAAATCTACCTCTCTAAAACCTTTTTTTTAATTAGCTATTTTATTTATTTCAGGGCAGAAGCACCACCTAACTTTAGGCTTTTATTATTAACCCCTCTGTGGCACCCATTCAGTTGCAGGGAATGAAGACAGTAGGGCTCTATATACTTTGAGTCCTTCATTAAACTATTGATCCCCTTAGCATTATCCATAATGTTCCAGCAGCTCAGCATGTCAACTGATGCAGAGCTAGCTGCTCTTTCCTTTCAATAACTTCCACACTTTATGGGGAGGAAGTCACAATGATTTATTTACCTGACATTTCCCAGTCCGGATGTCGTAGAGGGCCACTGAACCATGGCGAGCTCCAACTGCTATTCTGTGACTCCGCTCATAATAGCTGACCATGTAGAACCTGAATTGAACAATATAACAAGTAACAGGTGAGATCTGATCTGCCTGCATGATGTTAAAATTCATTCGCAATGCCACTGGGTAATTAACATTAGTGCTAGAACAGAGATTCGACGCAAAAATCCATCAGCTGCCAGATTTCGTTCTTGGCATTTAGCAAAGAAAGCAGACTGGTATTGGATAAATTATTGCAGAATCATATAAAATATTTTTATCATAGAGAGTGAAATACTTCTGCTGAGTTTGGTAATAACCTAAATAATAATTACAAGTTCTCTGAACGTCCACACGTATATGTTGTTTATAGTCCAACACCATGATAGTGCCGGATGTCAAATGATTAAATAAGACAATCTTAAAGCCCTGAAAAATTTCAAAGCATTTTTCTTTGAAAATCAAATAAGAAAGAGAATGAGAGAAAGGGCAGGGAAAAATATACAAACAAATATACAAATATACACATTTTTGTTCAGTCTTAAAGAAGGAGCAAGTTATTATCAACCTATCACTAATTCCATAACATTCTTCCGGGGGAAGAAGAATGGAGAGGTCTGCAATATTCCTTAAAGTTCAGTGTGAGTATATGGCATTACTGTGAATTCAGGCAATTTCAAAATTCAAGGAATTTTTACACCTTGAAACACAGGAGAGTTTTAAAATCTTTATTCCCCATTCAAGTATTTGGGAATACTAGCGTGCTTTTCTTCTAAGTGGGAGAACAGATCTTTGAAAAGCACCTACTATATTTCTGGTAAATTTTAATTTTACAGTTAAATTTTACTGTAGCAAATTCTGCCAGAGATCGCTAGAATCAGTCTATAAAAATACATTGCTGACCATATTTATGGCTTAAAACAACAATACTAGCAATATCTTACCATGAGCTATTGCCTTCTTTTCTTAAAGGATTCCCAGAGTGCTATAAAACCTACTCGCATGCAGGTATTCTGTTTCTACTGCACTTGTTTCTACAGTGCAGGATGGCAGCCAGGAAAAAAAGACGGGCTGCCCGGCTCGGTGCCGTCTGGCAGCAGGGTCGTCCCTCCGCGGGGGCGCGCGTTTCGTTGTGCTCCCGCACCCTGCGGGCACGACAACACTGCCCTTCGGCCTCGTCCTCCCTTCATCCTCGCCACAGCGCAACGAGCCGGCGGACGGGGCTGCTCCGCACCCCTCGTGCTGCCTTGCCCGGGCAGGCTCCATCGCGCGGCGTCGCGGGAAGCTTTCCCCCGCTCCCTGCTCTCCGGGCAGAGGAATATTTCCAGGCCACATACCACCTCTGTTACTTCCTCTGCAGCCAACTTCTGCCTCATCTATCTGCTTTTGGGAGCAACAGAACTTTCCACATTATTTCAAATTATTTTTCTTCTTATTATTTAATAATAATGCTATTTTATTTCTTATTAAGAAGAAAAGGAGTGCTTGCAAACACTCAAAAGCTGTTGGCAAATAGGCAGGGAGCAGGAGAGGCAGGAGCTGGTCACTGGTGAGGAAAGGGATAATCCTCTGGGCAAAGAGGTAGGTACCCACGGGCTCTAAGCACTTCGTAGATGGCCAATAATGCAGTAACGAGAGTACCGGAACGAGACAGAGGACTGTAACGAGAGCGCATTCACATTTTGCACCTTTTCATGTCAAACTGTCATCACCCACGTTATTAAAGTAGTATCTCAGGTGAACAGGAAGGAGACTATCTGTAAAGCTATTTTATATGACCAGCAAACCCAGGATTTACATTTAATTTTACAGAAAAATACACCCTACTTGATCATTTTAAGTGAAATGGAACGCAACAAAAAGTTTCTACAGAAAACGTTTTATATCCCCGTTAGTTCTATCACACTTCTGAACGGGCACAGGCCGCTTGTCTCCTCCAAGAGATTCACAAAGAGCATATCACATACTACTCTGTAAGCATGCAGCATTTCTCTCCTTACTGCATTTAAATGCCCATTTAGACAGAGAGCTGAGTCAGTATTTTTCCTCAAAAAGAGGAATCCATCGGTCTACATAACAAAAGAGGGTTTGGAAAAAAAAGCTTTATGGCGATAGACATTTCTGAACTTAATTTTCTAAGAAAGATTCCTCCTTAGTCTGACATTCAGTTGTCAACTCTTTAGCCTCGATCTTTATCTTTCAGTTAGCTTCGCATTGTGTCAGCCGCCTATACATTCAAATATTTTAATCCTTTGCATTACTTTCTAAGCCTCTATATGGCAGAATTTAATAGAGAATGATATGCCAATATATATTTAGACTATACTACAAATTCTTTTTTGCAAGTCTAGCTGATGCATCCATATCCCGAGTTGGCACCTTAATGGAATCTCTGCTCTGAGTGCTGCTCTATTATTGCTTTTAAAAGAAACTTTAGTCAGCCAAAAGACAACTTACTTCACTTAACTTTTTGAGGAATTCTCTGGTGGAACCAAATTAACGATGCTACTACTGCTGATACAAGACAATGCTTTAACTTGACATACCCTTCCCTCCCATCTTTTGGAAATGAACACTGTGCATGTTAAGATGAAGGGCAACGTGGCCCAGCCTTCTCTTCAGATCTTGTTGCCTTCAGTGACCGCTTCCACCCGTGGCTCCACTTCACCTGTGACACGATTCACAGCTCAAAGGTGGGGGGGACACGCTTCGACGCTTGCAAGCTAGGTGGAATAGTCTGTTGGCCAGGAATCATACTGCAGAAGGGGAATTTAGCATAAGCAAGTCATATTAATGACTGACTATGGAAACGATCTTTCTTCTTCTACCAAGTATTTTGTAAGCATACTTGGAAATAGGAAACTGGAAACAGGAGTGGTCGGGCTGGGCTCATACCTTCTGTGTTTCCATACAGCTGTGGGCTAGCAACAGCCCAACTAGCTAGCAAAGATACCGGGGGTTCAGCTTGTCACAGCCATGTTAACTTAGCACTTGATGAAAATAACTTACAACACACAGCTGAAGCTCTCTTGCTTTGACACTCTAACGACAGAACTAGTTGATGAGAGAAGTGTGAAAATTGTTGCTGCTTCTACTGCAGAATGTGAGAAAAGCAACTGTGACTGCAGAAAGCCAAAGAAAAGCCAAACAGTCATTTTCAAAACAAAAACGTTCCATGAAGCTTTGTCAAAGATATTTATGCATTAATTAAGCAGAAAGGAAGATTTCTTTCGACATCCACAAAGATGCCCACGCCACCTTTAACACGGCAACAGGAACACAAACAAAAACCAAAGCCCCAACCAAAGCCAAACCCCACTGAGCAGAACTTTGTCTGGGCGCCCTTTAAAGAGGCTTTGCAAAAACGACTGCACCGCTCCACAAAGCTTCTGCACAGTGCTAACTGCACTTCTACGATTAAATCTGTCAAAACGGGCACTACAGCTGCAGTAAGGGAGGAGAGTAGCAAAATGAAGCTTCCTTATAGGTTTGAGCCCTGCCTTGACAGTCCTGGGATGCCTGTCAGGGAAAACTCGGGGATGGCAAGTTTCCACCGCAGATGCATGAGAAGTTCAACATTAAGGACTCGGTCAAACCCTCAGAAACCAAAGCCAGAGAAAACCCGACTCGGTTCTCAAACGGCAACAGGGAACCAGGGGCAAATAATGAAACCGAGACCTCAGTAATGGCATGCTGCATCTGTGTTCAGCTGCAACAGAGACGACACTTGCCTTGATAGAGGCAAGTGAATCTTTGGGTTCATTTCTTCAAAGTTTTATGCAATTTTTTAATTTTAACTTTTTTTTTTTTACATGCAGAATGTCACAGAGTTATCAGAGAGTTTATTTTCTGGGGTCAGGACTTTTAAAGACTGTGAACTACCTACAAGGGAAGGTTTATAGAGGTAATATTCTTTTAGCCTTCTAAGATTACAGATGTCACGAGCTCATCATCAAGTTTCATTAAATTCAGCAGATTTTAGCACTTTGTTGTAATTAAAGATTTCTGTTTGGATTCATTAAGAGGAGAAACAGTGCAAAAACAGAAAGTTACATGTTCATTAAAAACAATTGGTCGTTTCGTATCATGACACTTATTAAATCTTAGTTTAGAACTTCAGTATCCTGCAATTAGTCAGAGGGGGTCTGCATTGCCTTTTAGCTATTCTTCAGCCACATTTCACAATGTGTTCTTTTTTTCTTCTCTCATACGGAATCAGGCTTTTTAGGCTTTCTTTGAGCATTACCATAATAACACCTCAAACTGTTAGACTGTAATTCCCTGAATTTTAGTCTCCAAATCCCTGGAAATAATTAAGGTATGAAAAGTTGATGTACAAGCTCGCTTTGTCTAATCCTTGGAGTTTTAACTCTTCCCGCAAAACTGCTGCCTAGTAAAAAGCAATGCAAAATATCTGCTACATTAAATTGAATGTAGCTTCCTGTGTGAGAATATAGAGAAAGCTTTAAATCAACAGTATATACTAAATACCTGACGTGACCAAGGAGATTCCGTCAAGGACCACTCAGATGTACGTAACTGCTGAATCTGGAAAATGCTCAAGTCAAACAGAATTATGCTGCCTTCAATATTATCCTTCAAAATCTTTTCAAACATCAAAAATATTTCATACTCATTGGAGTATACTTCCATGTTTTATTTTGTTTTCATAAGAAATGAGTTTGCATAGAACATGCCAAAAGGTAATAAAATCCCTTATAAAAAGTAACACTTATGGGAAAAGCAAATATACACCCTAACGATATGCTATAAAATATGGTGCATTGTGATGGATTTACCTCATCACCACCAGATAGGATTGAGTCACATTCATAGCAATTAAGAGCATGACTGCCACATTTGTACAACAGTAAAAAAGATGAAAAAATTAGAGGAAAGATAATCTGGTGCTTTAACCCAGCACACTGTTGCTCACGGCCCTAGGTTTTACTGTTCTACTAAAATTAGAACATCACCTCAAAAGTGTCAGCAGATGCACTAAACAAATGTTTGTCTTTATATAGCCATCAATATGCTATTTCCATAATGTTATATGAGCAAGAAGAGCTTGCACACCTAGCAGAAGTATTTAGACAGCTGAATGATTTAATCACAACATCTGTCCATATAATACAGTACAGCAGAAAGAGTATTAGGATATTAAAGAATTAGTAATAGGATTATGTCAAAGTATTTCCACTTGGAAACCCTCCAGAGACTCAACGATTCGCTAAAATCTTATGAAAATTTCCACTGGCCTGAATGATCAGATCAGTGGGGTGCTGTATCATTTTTACAATGGCTATAACTATGTAAAATAGGAAATACTGCCAGTAATTTAACAAAATTTTAAGACAACGTATCACTATAAAAGTACAACTGAAATAGGGAGATTTTTTGCATTAATTCGCACTTGCCCTTGCACTTATAATTTAAGTTAAGCCTTTTAAAGTATCAGGAAGAAAGAAGATTACCTCTATCAGTACCTTATCTGTCAACAGGATAATAGTTCTTTTCTTGAAACTATTCAATATTTTAATAGCTTATTAAGTTAAAATGTAACACTCGACAGATGAATATTATAATTTATTGGTTGTACCAGTTTAATAGTATAACTGGGATATTTATAATAGTCTAAAGATACTGTAAATGTTCCCATTTTATAAATCACATTTTATTATTTAAAAGTACCATTTTAAGAACTAAGTAGAACTACTCTAAGACAGAAATGACTGATAATGCTCAACTCCATCTGAAGGTCAGTGGGAGTCAGCTACTGAACTACCGCTTGTGTCTTTCAGTGTCCTCCAACCTGCCAAGCTACCAGAAAGGTGAACAAAAAAAGGAATACGCAACTAACGCGTATCATCTTCATATGATCAACTCCATAGATGGACAATTTTAAATGCTTTCTAAACAAGTTACACACAACAGACTGTGAGACAGCTTTAAAGCCACCAGCGGGGCTCTCTTGATTTTAGGAGATTTAATTTCAGTTGAATCCTATGCATCCACTGTGATGCGTTTCTAAAAAACAATGAGATAATACCCTTTGTGTCCTACTTCCTGCCACATGAATTAGCAACCTGAGAAGGACTGGCCTGTTGCGTATTAGCTCTGAGCTGAAGTCCAGCTTTTGTTCCCTGTGCCCCAATTCTGTTCATCTTTCAAAGATGCCAGTGGGAGAGTAGTAAAACCTTTGCAAACATAAAGCTACCAAGGAACTCGCCCAAGTCTTTAGAGCCCTGTTCAAAAATGCTGAGGAAAGGAAGATGAAAAAGGCACTTGACAACACTATTTCGAACCATCCGAGAGAACCAGGCAGATGGACAGGCAGAGAAAAGGATGTGGGCTGCGGGAGATCAAGGGGAGAGGACAACCACACAGCATGGCAACGAGGGCGTTGCTCATTAGATAGGCCAGAAAGCGTGGAGCACAGCTTGCTCACCTGGTGGACGCCTGAAAAACGCTTACGAGGCAGAAGAAGCGTGGCTTTACTATGGGAGGGCGTTTGGTACTTTGTTTTTCTTGTTATCTCAGTTTTACTGATCTTTCCTACGAGATGGCTGTATGACGGACTTGTGTGAATAGCACAGGAAGCCCGGAGACCATGGAAGGCCTTGAAAATACATATTCCGGAGACGACAGCCTCCTCTTTGTGCCCTACAGCCATGCTTACATTTATATAAAAGTGCCCATCTAAGCTGTTGTCTTATAACTACGCCCTATTGTCAGCTATTACGTGGATTACAGCAGTTGGCTGTCGACATAGAGGGAATAACATTTATTTTCAAAATTCCCCACTGGAGGAGGTTTTGGAGAGAAAAACAGTCAGCCTCAATCTTCCTTCTGAAAGAAAAGTGGGCCTGCTGTTGGCTAACCCTCGGTGCGAGAGCGCGCTTTGCTGCAGGACGCTGCTGCTGCCAGCAGATCATGCCACGGAAGTAGGTGAACTAGGGCTTCAAAGAGCTCAGCGCCCTCAGCACACCTGGAAATCTTATTCTGACACATACCTTAAACCCGCTGCTCATGGTTTAGTCTCACCATACCAACAAACAATCACAGCTTCAAAGAGTTTACAGAACGCAAGCCACCCGCACCTGTACCATACCGGAACCCACCCCAACCTCTCAAAAATCCCCTAAACCAAACCTTTATTTTATGCTGTCAGAGCCTGACTTAACTTTATTTCCTTTGCTTCTCAGTCTCTACTATGGTAGCAACTAACTCATTCAAGCAGGTTCTGCATACTGGAATCTAGAAGCCAACTTGTTATATATATTATCATCATTGTTGCATCAGGAAAAAATAAGATGTTGATAAATCCTCCGAAAGGCACCTATTCAGTCAGTCTTGTCAGCTTCTGTGGTTGTTCCAACAGGGCAGCTGGGAAGTACGAAGGGGGAGTATGACACAGTTTTTCAAGAGACTGCACAATATTTTCCTACTTTTGGATTTTTTAAATACTAGAACTTCAAAGAGCTGTTAATGCTTTTCTTTTCTGACCCATATCTCTGTCAGATGTGACAGAGATTTAAAAACCTATAAAGGCTTACATGTGTGCTAAAAACACTCTGCACGTTTGATGTTTTAAGGGGCAAGTATTGCGCAAAACATTGTTTCACTCCACGGGTGTTTCCAACAGGAAATATTTTTCATTTTTGTCTTCACAGTATTCCTGAAGGAAAAGTTTACCTGCAGATGGCTGGAAAGCATTCCTGAAGACCTTTTTTCTTAACCAAAGATCCTTCAAGGCAATACATGATGATGTCCATAACCTTGGAAAAAAAGGTTAAAAATCATTTGACATAGCGCATTGTATATTTCATAACAACAGTTCTGAACTGGTAAAAATAGAGAATTTCTGTGTCTGAATGCATCCTTTGATATCTAAATTTTAAATATGATTGGGATAAAACAAAAACCTGTCTTGCATTTAATGGAGTTTACAATAGCAGTGGTACTGGTGACTCAAGTGAACATTCACAGTATCAGTAAATAACTATAAAACAATAAACTACTGGTAAACATTAGCTATTGGAGCCCCATAAATAGCTCTGTTGTGAAGAAGGATTCTGAGCATCAGCACCAATGATAAGAATCAACTATATTATCTGTGACATTCTTGAACAATATTCATCAGCACCAATGAATACAAAACCCAAAAAGGTCTGTGCGATTCCTCAACGCATTCAAGTATTACTGCTACAGGTACACCCACACATCCAGCAAATCCTCTTGCTCATTTTTTTTTCCCCCGAACAGTGATGACTTATCTAAAATTGATCTAGTCTCTTCCTCTTTTCCACTTTCTTTTTACATGCCCTACAGGAATAAGATTACTATTCTGTTCTTCTCGCACACACACTTCCATATTTAGTAGCTCCTTTTACTTGAGCCCCATGCCTGGAATGCTGTCTTTAACCCATGTTGAAAAGTACCCACCTTTTCCTCTTTATTACTTTCTGAAAAGATACTCTCTTACAAGCTCCTCTGAAAAAAAGGAATTTCTCTAACAGGAAATAAAGGCAAAAAATAGAATAGGAGGCGAGTCAAGCTTTATTCCTTTGTATCACTCTTTTGTTTCACCCTGCTAAGTTCTTCTACAAATGTTTTCTTCTCAGTTTTTAAGATTCCTGAGACAAACAAAGTGGCATTCCCTGTGGAAAGAAATCCTACAACTGCATTCCATGCCAATCCATTATTCACTGTTGCATCAAACCCACAAACTGATATGGCAAAACACTCTTACCTCCACAAGAAGGTCCACTACATCGGTAGGCATCTTCTCAATAAGTATCTCGATGACTCTCAAGATCTCTCCTTTGGCCCGGGCAAGGGTAGTGGTGTGAATATTCTGCTGGGACTGCGTGTTGGCGGCCAGGGCCGTGTGCCTGTGCACCTACCAAAGATCAGGATGGTGCGTGAAAACTCAGACTCTCTAAACACCCTTCAGCCATGCTCACCGAGGTGTTGTTTGCCAATTCCTAAAACGCTTACAGTGTCTAGTGAGAATGCTCCTACAGGTTATTGCAGTCTCACCACATACTTCCTTTTTTTCAGTTTCTTAGCAATTTTATACACATGAAACCAAGACACATGGGCAGTGATTATTTCTATTTGCTCATCACCCACAACTCTGCACTTTTGACTCAGCTAGCAAGTGAAATAACTACTCCAACATCTAAGGCTGTAATCAGATCAGGTCTGAGAGAATGCTGGTAAAGAAAGGCAGCCCAAAGTATTTAAATTTAAATAGTAATTACTTAAAATTACATTTTGAAAACTATACCCTTTACAGCGAATAAAATATCTTATGGCCAATCCAGAAGTATTAATTTGGATCATACAGTATCGCAAAACAAGTATTTTTTTTTTTAAGACCTAAGTTGAACACAGGCTAATATGTTACATTAGGAGAATCTGAACTATGCAGAAGGCTTTGTTTTACTTTGAGACCTACGGGTTGTTTCCCCTCAACCCCATTACTAGTAATCACTAGAGTAATTAATGCTTATCCTTCATACAGTGTTTAAACAAGGCTTTAACTTCTTCGAATAATTCTTAATCTCATTAAACTAAAGGTCAAGATAAGCAAATGCCTTGGTCTTGATTTCTTTACATAATTTTCACATATTTGTGCACATTTCTATAGGTAGTAGACTGCTGCAATACAACAGATGTTTTTTGGCCTAACGCTGAACATCATCTGTCCTTTAGCCAGTTAGATCTTCTTTATTGCCTTTAGCTATGCAAAAGCTCCAGCCTTTGTCTGGGTTCACTCCAGCGATCCTCAAAAGGAGTGTGCCTAACCTCCACCTAACCCATACCGGAGCCCTGCTCCCCTCCACACCGATCATTACATCTGCTGCTAGGCCACCACTATGTTTTACTTAACACTTAAATACTTCATCAGGTAGTATTCACGTTGCCTAAAAAAGGGATAAAGGAAAATCTAGTAAGCAGCATTTCACACGCTCCTATCCATAACACTTTGAAGTTTATATAACCAGCATACCAGGACACAACAAATTAAGCCCGTTACAACTCATCAGATGCGGTTAAGTATCAGTGCTGTCACGGAGTAGGGGTGATTCGAAATACCAGCGTTTGGGGATGTAAAGATTACACTTGTTTTCTTTCTTTTCAGGGTGGAACGGAAGGGCATCTGATTATTTATTGCTTTTTGGTAATTCTGGACTGTCAAAGCACACAGGAAAACCATTCCTTTGCTGGCAGCTCGGGCCAAGCTCTCCTCACCTCCTTGGCGATGGTGGTGATGAAGGCGGGTGGCCTGGCCGTGGCGATGAGCGAGAGAGCGTGGCGTGCCGAGCGCGCCGAGTCGGCCGCGGGACTCAGCGGCAGCCCCATTGTGATGCTAAACAGGTGCCAGACAAAGGGGGGAAAGAAAAGAAGCATTAGAAATATAGAGTGCAAAGATTAGACACAGCTTATAATGTCAGTTCAAGGTCAACGGGAGCACTCAAACAGTTAGAATATAATGGACTTCCAACAATGAGCAGTGATTAGGAGTCAGGGTGTTCTATCATCAAATACAAAATCGAATAATTAACCATGAAGATTGAAAACAGTATGTGCATCTGTCCAAAGTGTTAAAAAGGCCTTGTTAACAAATTATCTATATGTATTGAATACATATCACAAAACTGAGGACAAGGCAAATAAAGAATGTCTTCCAAAGTATTTGCTTTGTTTTGTTCTTTTAGAAAATTTTAAAAGCAGGCAGAAAAATATACTGTTCACAGTAATTCTACTTCATTTAGCTAAGCACTGGTTGCAGGACAGTAAAACAAGAACAAGAACCTTCCTGAAGAACTAAAACCATTAAACCAGTTAGATTTTCTTTATTGCATGACTTATAGAAGGATGATAAAATGAAGACAGACAGACAACCTCGTACCTTATGCTTTCTACTTACTGAAATTATTCAAACGCTCTTTATAATTTATAACACTGGGTTTTTTACTGCAATCCTCCAATTAACAGTAAGGGATTAACCTCTATCTAACTTTTCCATACACAGTGTTTTTATTTGTTGTGACAAGGTAAATACGAGAAACAATAAAGTAATAATAAGTAACAGGTAACTTCGTTAACTAAAAATAAAATCCAGTATTTGGTAATTGATAGAATACGTTACCTGACAAGATATATTTGCTATACTTTTGTCTGAAAGCTTCCTTCCTTAAAATGTACTATCTTAATCATCACCGTTAGATATGTCATAGCAGACTGCAGCTCTGTTAGGCTATTTGTACGTTATCCACCAATTCCACAAATCCTTCCGGCCTTCACATCCACAGGCCATCCAAAACATTCACACTGGACGTGCCCAAAACGCAGTTACCTCTCTAGACCGACAACTCCTTGCATTTACTAACCCAAGGTAATACAGAGAGATGTGTTATCTGTGTCTAATAATAAGAGTAACCAATTCACATTCAGCAACACGCAAAGGCATTCATGTACTGAGAGTTAAAGATTACGGGCAGGGAGGCTGCGGCAGAGCAATGCTTAACTATTGCCTCAGACACACTGCAGGCATCCACGCCTTCGTGGGAGAGGACATTTCACTGACAGAAGAAAGCAGCAGCACAGGAGAAAGCAATGGTGGGAGGAGAGCTATGGGGGACAGGAGGAAGAACACGCGCTGACATGGAGATCAGGGCTTCTGCAGAAGAGGGGAGAGCATCTAGGAACTAGATTAGTTCATTGAGATTAACCTTACACGTTTAAGCTAGCCTACAAAGAAAACCTTCTCTGACATGACTACTGTAGCACAGAAAAGAGAGGCCACAAACCACTGTTTGTTGGCTCCAGCATCTTAAAATTTAACGTAATGCAGCCTGATGAATCTTGCTGATGTGGCCACACTTTCATTAAGAAGTAGCCCTAGTAATCTCTCTTTTTTTTTTTTTTTTTTTTTAACGTAAACACAGCACAAACGGAAGGTGGTTTCTTACGCTCACCGCCTAGCTCCTGGCATCAGCCAGCCCCCTGAGGACACTGCAGTTCCCCACAGGTCCTGCTGCGCCACGAAATGCGGCCTTTGGGAACGCGCCGAGAGCTCTCCTCCCCATGGCCTCTTTGCACAGGACACCCACCCAGATGGGTTACTACTTACTTGTTCCCTTATTTTGGAAGGGACTGAGGATTTAGGTGTTCAAGGATCACCCTGTCTGACCGCTTCCGAGCAGACTGCCCTTCAGCTGAGCAAAGCCAAGCCTTCTTGCTCTGCATTTAGTTAAAAGCCCCTCAACAAGAAAACTAGCACAGTATTCGGGCAGGAACATCAAAACGAGTTGCCCGTGGTCTACGGGACCATGTGAATACAGGTCCCCGACACCCAATAACGTCCAATCTAAACAGAAAAGTACAAGCACTGAATCTGGGGATGAAATTGCAGAATATGCGTCAGTGACGCAGATAAACCAGAGAGCGTCAGGCACCCTTTCTCTTCACTGCTTCACTTGGAGATTAAGTAATGAAAGAAAAGATATTCAGTTGTCAAGAACACATACGGGTTTACTGTTTTTCTGTGAAAACAAAGTATTTTTCTGCATGCTCCTATGCTCAGCAATCAGCAGTCGCTGTTCTTGAAGATCAGAGATGAAGCTGAAATTCTCATATGTTGCAAACTTGCAAGATTGCTTTTCCAGAACATATATATATGAACAGCACTGGTCTGTGAGTTAAACAAAAAGGCATCAAGGTTTAAAGGAATTTCTGCATCTCCGCTGTTTATACTGCAAGCATATGTGAATAAAATTGAAGCTTTTTATTAAAGTAACTGTGGCCTTTAAGTGCATGTTAACAATGCAAGATAGTTTTTATTACATGAAAAAGATAAAATCTACAACCTTCTCCACTACCAATGCGATTTCAGATGGTTTAACACCTTAACAGATGCACATGAGATAAAAACACATTCAATAAAATCTGTACCAGTCCAATGAAGTAATCTTATCGAGGATCAGCAATTTCAGAAAAATACTATGTATTTCCAAACACAGGGGAAGGCCCAGTTACGTAAGTTATGGCTCATTATAAAACACAACACAATTATTATGAAGCAACACAAAGTTATTGGTGGATGTGTCCAAACAGGAACCATAACCAGGTGTCCAACCCTGCAGCCTTTGCTCACCTGAGCAGCCGCGCTGCTCTCAGTCGCACTTTGCAGTTAAGTAAGGACTGCCGTTTCCAGGTCTAGGACCGCACTCGTTTCACACATTTAATGCTATTAAAATTGATGAATGGAAATGCACTGTTCCACATCCCCCATCCCCAGTTCAGAGGCTCTTGGCTGGAGGTTGAGCTGGGGGCCAAAGAGACCTGCCTCCTCGCGCCCGCGCCACGGGGCTGCCTGGCTCAGCCCGGAGTTACCCGAGAGCGCCTCAAGGCCCCCCAAACCAGCAGGCTGCAAGCAACCTCCACGGCAGAGGATAAAAGCACCATCATAAAAGCATAATCATTCTACGCTTTTATCCCTTAAACATCTCTACATGCTTCTAAAGTGGTACAGACCACTTCATCAGGGTCAATACAGTTCATTCTACTCTGAAAACAAAGCACCAGGTTCATTCTGCTCTGAAAAATGAGGGAAAGGAGAAAACTAAACAATCCAAAAAATGTTAAAAAAAAAAGAAAAAAGAAAAAAAGAAAAAAAAAATCACAAAACCTTGTTCTTGCATTTCAAAAGTGCCAAACCCCACAAACAACGTAACACCATCTTTGCACCACGTTTGTTGCATCTCCAGAGATATTTAAGTCAGTCTGCCTATTCACCTTGTTAATGCTTGAGATCTTCTGATCTTTCAGCACTTTAACAAGAGAACACATCAGAAAACGTGGGTAAGAGAAAATAAGTGACATGCCATTTCCTCAAACGCACAGAAATTGTCCTTTCAGGCACTGTTTGAAGGGGTTTCTTTTCCCCAGTGCTGTTCTATTGAT